TCTCACTATGCAGCTTGGACTCATAGTGAACCATCTATTTCATCCTCCCCAGCACTGGAATTACAGGCATGTGCCACCACACCCTGACTTGGTCATCAGCTTAGCATTGGTGCAGCATGCCAGACCAGGATTGAACCCTGGCCTCTGCGCTTGCCAAATCAAGTGGTTAGTCCACTAAGCTATCTCACCAGCCCTTAATTTTTTTGAGACAAGGTCTTGCTAAAATGTTCAGGCTGGGCTTCAATTTATAATTTTCCTACCTAAACCTCTCAGAGTACTGAGATTACAGATATATACCTCCACACCTAGCTTGGTAATTATGTTTCCTAAATGTATGCAACAGATTTAATTAGGCAGTGCAGGAAAGATAAGGATGAAAGTCAAGCAATTTGTATATCAGCACAAAGACTTGATCTTAATTTGTGATTAGTTTGAGAACTATTGAAATTATTTTTGAGTAGGGAAGTAATGACAAGCAACAATCTTGAGGAAAAAACACTATTAAAGGAGGCTTTTCAGGTTTGTTGACAAGCTACATTTTTTTTATTTGCTCCCCTCTTGTGGTATTGGGAATTGAAACCAGGGCCTTCATTTTGAGCTACTTGTGTATCCCTTTTTTAATTTATTTTGTGATAGCTTCTTGACAAGTTGCCCACCCTGTGCTAAACTTAGGCTTCTCCTTCAGCCCCTGAAATTACTGAGAGTACACATGTGGACTATCATTCTTGGCTCAGGTTTGGATTTTTTAAGAGACATGCATGATCTCAGTGTACATATTTTCACATTTTGTGACTAGTATTGAGAGTTACTGAGTTTATTTTTGAGTAATTGTTTGAATTCTTCCAATGAGAATGTAATAGGTGAGTATTACAAAAATAGTCAAGGTTCTTGTATACCACACAGAAAGACTTGTCAGACATACACTCTGTAGTACTTAGTAAGCAGCTGTGTTTATTGAAGATTGTGGGACAGGAGCAGCAGAAACAGAAGGGCAAAGCACGAGGCAAAAAGGGTTCAACATCTGAGGCTTCTAGTATTCATAGGATAAGACAAAACTGACCCAGTGCGCCTCTCACCATCTCACTGATAGTAATAATCTACAGCCATTTGCATCATGACCTAAATTTAAGCCTTGAGAATCATTGGGGTGGTAATGTGTTCATGGTTAAAGGGAGTGGCTCACACAATTTCCTTGTTTCTAATTGTGCTGCTGATTTTTAGGATTGTAGAAGCACATGTAATCATTAAGGCAGTGTGGCACTTACAGTTGAATGAAGGGAAGGGAGTGATTCACTCAGCTCTCATTTCTAACTTTACTAGGAACATTTTCAGTTTGGCTCCCATGCTTTTTCATCTTTCACTGTATCCCTATTTTTGAACACTTTCTTAATACCCAGCACTATATTCTGCTCCAGGCTCATCTTGCAGCTTTCCCTGTGCCAGTCCTGAAATTAACCAAGTCTACAGAGAACCTGGTTCTTCTATTACAGAATAGTATTTAGAAGCCAAAATAAGGGGTGATTTGTGCTCTGTTCATAGGGAGTCATTATATCTAGTCTCGTGGAGACAACAAAGCAATAAGATACATTAGTGTACACTAACACACTTATACGCAAATATAAATGTTTCTTTACATAAATATTTTAAAGGACTGTTGAATGTATAAGAAAAATTACCCGTGGGGCCAGGAAGATGGCTCAGTGGAATAAGCACTTCCTGGCAAGTGCAAAGGCCTGAGTTTAATCCCCAGTTCCAGGGGGGAAAAAGAAAGAAAGAAAGAAAGAAAGAAAGAAAGAAAGAAAGAAAGAAAGAAAGAAAGAAAAGGAAAAGAAAGAGAAAAATTACCCATTAAACAGTGACATCTAACATCTGATGAAAGACAGTATTAGACACATACTGTCTTTCATCAGATGTTAGATACGTACTTTAAAATGGAATATATAAACTAAGATTATTAAAACATTACTGGTGACTCTTGTATTTAAAATTTGTGAATTTTTAGAACTGATGCAATAATTTAAGCACTATTCTATTGATAGGTAGCAAAGAGAATAAAATCCCAGTGGATCATAACAACAAATACAGCAGTGACCTTCTTTTTGACATTTTATTGTATTACAGTCCTCCTGTCAGGCGCCAGAGAGGAAGAAGGGATCGTCTGTCTCGACATAATTCTATTAGTCAAGATGAAAACTATCATCATATCCCTTATGCACAGCAGCAAGCAATAGAGGAACCTCGAGCCTTCCACCCTCCGAATGTGTCTCCCCGTCTGTTACATCCTGCTGCTCACCCAACCCAGCAGAATGCAGTAATGGTTGATATACATGATCAGGTAAAATGATGGCAGTGGCAGTTGACTGAGATGTATTCTTTGTTGCAGGTTGGGGGAGGGGAGTAAAGCATACTCAAACTCAGGACCATGCACTTGCCAGGCAAGTACTGTGACACTGACCTATATCCCTGGTCCTATTGCAGATTTTTACATGAAATTTTATGTGAGATTTTCTTCCTTTTTATAATTTTACACATTAAAAAAAATCTGAAAGAAAAAGCACTACCAAAAAATTAATATGAAGCAATAAACAATCAGCAGTTTTTTATTTGTTTTGTTTTATCTTTTGAGACAAGGTCTCACTATTTAGTTTAGGTTGTCCTTTTGCTGTGTAGCCAGGCTGGCCTCAAACTCACAGTGATCTTTCTGTATTAGTTTTTCAAGTACTGGGATTACCAGCATGCGCCACCACACTCAGCAAGTAATCAGTCTTGCAGGTGGTTTAAGACCTATTTGTAGAAGATTATAAAACACTACTGAAGAAATTTAAACTATTTAAATGGTAAATGATGTGACATAGAAGATCCAGTTTTGCAAAAGCTGTCAGTTCTTCAAATTGATACACAGACTATATAGAATTGGTATCGATACCTAAATGAATTTTTAGTAGATTCATTGCTGTAATTTAATGTTGATACTGTCATTTATGAGTGTAAAGACCCACTGCTAGTTGTTTTTATGAAGTTACTGGAACATAGCCAACCACATACTTTTCTGTCTGCCTGTGGGTGTATATAGGGAACTGGATGGCCCACAAACCTAAAATAATTTACTTTTTGACCTTTAAGAAGTAACTACCAACTGACACCTAGAGTAAGAGTCTAGCATCTAGAACAAATGGTTTTTAAACTATAATGTGAATTGAGGATTTTTTTTTTTCTTTTTTTTTTTGGTTCCTCGAATGCCTTCAGGGCACTTTTGGCCAGCGGGAAAGTTGTGAGGTTCGAACTCCAGCACCCTGAGGCTGACAGCTTTGTGGAAGCAGCCACTTAAAGGACTGAGCTAGGGCCAGGCCCCCTATAATGTGAATTGAATTAGCTGGCTAGCAGCAGCAGCACTTAAAAACATTTGGTAAAGAACATATTCCTGTACTGTCTACTAGATTTAATTAAAGAGCTACTACCATGTTACCCTGAAGGAAGATACAAGATGAACAAGATGATTTCTAGTTTTTAGGACATTATGGTGTGTTTCTTGTGACATTATAAAGCTATAGTAATGAAGGCATTTATATCATAGTCATATATGCTATTAAAACAATACAAAGCCCAGAATTAAACCAAATTTTAATTGAGTTGAAAACACATTTATGAATACTTTGTATTTGATATATTATACTGAATGGAGTTGATAGAGAACAAGATTTTTAATAAAGGATGGTAGGTCAATTGCATATTCCAAAAAAAGAAAGAAAAGTAGACCCTTCATATCTTTTACAGAAAGTTAAGCTCAGGTAGATTGAAGACTTAAATGTGAAAGACAAAACTGTAAAGAAAGTTACAGAAATAGTTTTATGGCATTCAGTAGGGAAGACTTTCTTAAGAGGGAAAGTACTAACTATACAGAGAACTAGTGACAAATTATGCTTAAAATAAATTGTGATCTTTGTTAGAAATAAGCATTTATTAAAAAAAAAGAAATAAGAATTTATTGATTCCTTGATTTTTGACAAAGGATGCCAAGGAATTCAAGGAGGAGAAAGGTCTGGGTTACTAAGTTTGAACCTTGGCTCATGTTTTATATCATTTATAAATCAAGTTGAATTCTAGATCTGAGTGTGAAAGATAAAACTTAAAGATTCAGTCTTTATGAGGTATAGGCAAAGATGTTCTAATTAGGACTTCTGAAGTGTTGTAAAGTATTACTAACTTTTTAGATTTCATGAAAATTAAAAGCTTCTACTTACTAAAAAAGTATTTAAAAAGTTAGAACGAGAGAGAGAGAGCGTGCACTTTGTGAGCTGGGGAGATAACATGGTAGTCTAAGTGCCTAACTGGCAAGTACAAGGACCCAGGTTCAATTCCTGGTCTGTGCCAGCCCCCAAACTGGGCATGGTATTACACACCTGTAATTCCAGTGCTGAGGAGGCTGAAACAAGAAAATCACTATGAATCTGAACTGTGTAGCCAGACCCTGTCTCCAATTAAAAAAGATGTGGTCATTGAGAAAATGCGCACTAAGATCATGAGATTTTTATCACTTCCAAGCCATTTGTCTAAGTGGAGATACTATTTTAGATCAACATGATAGGTAAAATCTTAAGAAGACTTAACATTTCATTGCTAGCAGAATTAAACATATAATTGCTTTAGAATACTCAAGGGCCACTTATTTTTTGTGGGGAGGGTAGTACTAGGGATTGAACCAAGAACCTTGTACATGCTAAGCAGATGCTTTTTCACTGATACGGCTTCACCCCCAGTTTTGGGAGGTTTTATTGTTTTGCTTTTTGTAACAAGGTCTTGCTAAATTTCCCAGACTAGCCTCAAAGTTGTGATCGCTTGCTTCTGTTTCCCAAGTAGGTGGGATTATAGGTGTGAACCATGAAGATAGTGAAAAATATACTTAACCAGCAGAAAACTAGGTGGGCATTTATGCCTATATAATATATGTACAACCAAAATAAAAACAGATTATCACAAGAATCAAAGTAGCAGTTCTTTTGGTGAGGGGCATTAGAGAGTGGCTGTACAATCACTTTCTCTAGGAAAGAAACCCTTTAGGAACACTTGTTGTTGAACTCCTTGGGTATGTTGGCAGTGTTCTGCTTATTGACCTAAACAATAGTTATGTGAAGGTGCAGGAGAACCACACCTTGGACAACTCAACAAGATCCTATCTCAAAATAAAAAGATTAGAAAGACTACTATATTTCATTAATTACAAACTATATTATCTTCAAATTTTCACATCTCTGAAGTTGGAGTGCTTCTCACAATATATAGCATTTTAATCTTGATGCTAGCCAAGCAGCGGTTATAACATAGTTGTCATTGCTTGTGTATTTCCCAGTATCAGACTTCTTATAGTTAGATAATTGTATTTGAAGGGGAAGTGAGTTAACATTGTTCTCCAAACAGAAGCAGGAGTAGACCAATTCTAATTACAAACCTCACTTTATTTCATTTGTGGTGGCACAAGCGCCTGCCTGGCAAGTACAAGGTCACGAGTTCTGTTTCCATGTCAAAGAAAAAAAACACTGAACAAAGAATTGCTTCATCACCAACTTCCTTGATGAAGCTGAGCCTCTTGTGGGAAAAAAGTCTACTAAAAACAATCTACTAAAAGGAAAAGTAATTCAGCAGAATTGGACTCTGAAAGTGAAGCAGTATGGGACTAACCACTTTATTTTACTTAGTTTCTTGCTTATGAGTGCTCAGAGTAGTATATGAGCTCAATTAAAATGTATTTAATAAATTTATAAATAAGTCAGGCATAATGATACACACCTATAATCCTGGCAGTCAGGGCAGCTGAAGCAGTAGGATCTCAAGTTTAAGCCCAGCTTGGGTGACTTAGTGAAACCCTATCTCAGGGCAAAAAAAAAGACAAGTATGTATTTAGTTAATTGGGAACATTCTCTTTAGTACATAAAAAATAGTCATACAGTGATGATAGTTTAGATTCAGTAAAATACAGTATTTATGACATTTTATGAGATCAGTAGTTAATTTTAATTTACATTGGTAAAATTCAGCATACATTTAAAGTCATATATAGGAGAGGTGCTTGTGAGCATTGTTTTTGAAAGTTCTGTCTTTCTAATAAAAATAAGTAAATTATGAAGTTCAATCTTAGATACCTGGTTAGCTATGGTGTTCGTGCAGTACTGGGGATGGAACCTAGAGCCTTGTACAGCCTTCCACTGAACTACACTCCAGCCTAAGATTCTAGTCATAAAAAATAGTAGTTGATAAGGTTGCCAGGTTCCAAATTAATGAATAAAAATTAATATTTTAATATTAACTGATTTGATATGCAAATAGAAAAATAAGCTATTACCCATATAACACAACTTACAAATTTATAAAAGAAAAGTGAGGAATACAATTTAGTTAAGAATTGTTTATCTGGTTGGAGGGAAAGTTCTATGGTAGGCACATCTTAGCAGTTGGAAGCCCTAGGACCATCACAAAGCAAAATAGGAGCAGGATTATAGCGACATAATCTTTTGAATTCTTTATGAAATAATGTAAAATTTAATATAGCTCAAGTTTAATACAGTTCAGTATTTATGAAACCTCATCAGTAAAGGAAACCTAGAAGCTATACTCTTAAATTTTTAGGCTAAGGGGCTGGTGAGATGGCTCAGTGGTCTAAAGCACCTACTTAGAACAAGCTAAGCTAAGCAAAGCACAGGGACCGCGGTTCAATCCCCCAGCACCACATGCCAGCCCGCCCCGCCCCCTGGTGGGCTGAACTGCCCCCCCACACACACATACATAAATAAAAAATTAAAAAAAAAATTTAGGCTAACAATATAAAAGACAAAAATATACCATTAAGTAAAGGGTTTAAATTAAAAAAAAGCACAAAAATATTTTTGTTAGATATGACAAGCAATTGATTGCTATCTCTATAATAAAACAACTACAAATGATTGTCAAAGTAGAAAATAGGTAGTGAGCAAAGGCTATATTTACAGAAAATAACAGCTAAATGGCTAAGACTGTTGAAAGATATTCACCCTAAAAAATGCAATTTAAAGCAAGTATGATGACAGCATTTTTTTACTCTTCAGATATGTTAAGCATGCTTTGTAATAAGTCATCTTTGAGTAGAGAAACAGAAGTTAAGCCCCTCATGGTAGTATGACTTTTAGAGTTCTGCAGGTGATTTGGCATTATCTTTCTTGATTAATTAACTGAAAGAGACATGGTCTTGCTGTGTATTTCAGGGTGACTTTGAATTTACTGTATAGCCTAGGCTGACCTCATATTCACAGCAGTCTTCCTGCCTAATCTTCCTTGGTGTTTTGGCGTTTTTTCAAAGCATAAAATACATTTACTGCTTTACCTAGTAATGTCTTTGAACCAGAATTACTAATATAAAACTTTTATAGTTGGGCCTTTTTACAAGAGTGAAAACTTGAATGTCTATGTTATGACAGAACCTTATTAAGGAAACACACTCAAAATACCTGGCTAGTATCAAAAGAACTCTAATAACAGTTGGTATTTCCTATACAGTAACAACAGTTAAAGACACACACCTAGTAAAATAATAAAAAGTAGCGTATATCTTTTTTGTTACAAAAACAAAACTGCTATAGTCACATACATATATGTTCATCTATATATGCTCACAGAGAAAGAGGTAGAAAGGTTGTTACCACTTACTGTCTCAGAGTAGGGAGGATGAGAGAAAAATTGGCTGCAAGGGACATTGATAATTCAATGTATATGTTTTGGTGATGGTGAGTATTGAACTTAAGGGCCTGCACATGCTAGACAAGCCCTCTACATTCTTGACCAAATACAATTTTTTAAGTACTTCTTTCCATTATTTCAGCAGTTGGTGTTTTAAAAAATTGTAGAATGCTAATAGGTATTTTAAAATACAAGCTTTCATTTTTATAAAAGTTACTTTTTAAGTGTTTTCTGTACTACAGAAAGTATGACTATAAGTGTTAAATATTTGTAGATTATTCTCATGCACTTTTCAGGTCTTTTCTAAGAGAAACATTTAACCAGCTCTAGAAGTACTCAGCTTTCCTATACACCAACAATCAATATTTTGGTTGAAAATACTGGAGGAAGCCAATTACATTGACAACCACCAGTAATCCCAGCACTCCCAGGAGGTTGAAGCAGGAGGATCATCATGAATTCAAGATCAGTCTAAGCTGCATAGTGAGTTCAAGCAGCATGAATCTGCACAGCCAGACTTTGTCTCAAAAAAATACTGAAAGAAGTGCATTATGAAAGTCTATGCCACTTAGGGTTTTATGATTAAGTGCCCACATGTTAATTTTCAGTAGTTAACATTGTATCTGAATAACTGAAATGACAGTTTTCTTCCCTGATAGCTCCATCAAGGAACAGTGCCTGTTTCCTATACAGTAACAACAGTGGCACCACACGGGCTACCACTCTGCACAGGCCAGCACATCCCTGCTTGCAGTACACAACAGGTCCCAGGGTGCTCTGTGGTTTTCAGTGGACAACACCTCCCTGTCTGTAGCGTGCCTCCTCCAGTAAGTCTGTGCTTTTGTTCTCATTATGTTACTGTAAGCACGTCAACTTTGGTTTTGTGATTTAAAATTCAGTCTTCTTTCAGAATGGCTTAAATGCCTTGTATAATCGATAAGAGATTATCTTTGTAGCTTTACTTCAAAATAAGGGTAAATTTTGTTGCAAGAGAATTTAGCATGATTTCACTGGCCATTTAATAACACTAGTTTTAAAAAGCGATCTGTGGACTAAAATCTGCCACAAATGATTCCAGCAAGTGTGAGCAGAGACCCGGAACAGTGCATTCAGACATCCCACAAAGCAGGACTCTGGAAAATTGACACGTGCCACCACCTGGCATTCACTTGTGGCAATTACTAGCTTTTTACAGTTTTCTTAATCAAAAGTAAAAATTTCAGATATTCTAGTTCTGCTTTCTGTTTTAAAAATCACTGCTTCAATCCACTTCAAGATAAAATAGTGATACTTTTATATTAATTTATATATTTGAATATGTGATATCAAACTACGTTTATCCCTGTATCAACACTTTATAATTAAAATCAGATAAAGGTTGGCATGCAAACAACTGCAATGTTCAGTAGTTAATGGTCTCACTTACGGGATTTTTAATGGGTACTTTGAGGACCTTGTGTTCCTCACTGTAGGAAGCCTGTGATGAAAATGATATCCCTAGTTTTTAGGTGCTATCTAAAAAGTTAAATCACTTGCTTAATGTCTGAAACAATAAATATGGGAAGAGCAGAGATTCACATTCATTTCTTTCTGCCTCTGACTTTCATGCTTTACCCTATAATCTACTGATCCACATTTCAGCCTCCTTATTGTCACAAATGAAGGTGCTAAAATCTGGAGGATCTAAGTGATTTGACTAAAGATGTTCAAAGAAAAACTTTTGGCAAAAATCTGTAATGCTAATATCCTGGTCAGAATGTGAAGTTAGAGCAAACGTAACACATACTGGTAATGATTTAACCCAGTAATTTATCCAAGGTAGGTTTCTCATAATAACCGTTTTGTGAATTTGTCAACTTAAAGTACTGAGACTATAATTAACTGTGAATTGTGCTCTTTTTTTTTTTTTTGCTCCTCAAATGCCTTCGGGCTGGAGTGCTGTGAGGATCGAACTACAGCAACCTGAGGCTGATAGCTTTGTGGAAGCAGCCACTTAAAGGACTGAGCTAGGGCCAGGCCCCCTGTGCTCTTATTTTTAAACAAAATCCTGGAAAGAAAAAATTTTCTAAGATTGAAAAGAATTTTTTAGACTAGTTGTAGTAACTACTATATCTTCAACCAACTAGGAAGTTTCTTTTCTATGTAACACTCCCTCACCTCCCCCCATGCACACAGGCTTTTAAAGACTAAAAGATGCTTTGACTTGTTTTGAAGAACTATATAAAGTTTATTAAACTAGTTACCAGCACTTATTAGTAGATGCAAAAATACAGTGTATTTCATTAATACGTTACTCAAAGAAAAAGTATGGCAACAATTTTAATCTTGTATTTCTGTAATTGTATTTTTAATTTATGTATTCTGATATTTTTAACCAAAACAATGATTTCTTTTACAGATGCTTCAGGCATGTTCAGTTCAGCACTTACCAGTACCATATGCTGCATTCCCACCCCTAATTTCTAGTGATCCATTTCTTATACATCCTCCTCATCTTTCTCCCCATCATCCTCCTCATTTGCCACCACCAAGCCAGTTTGTTCCTTTCCAAACACAGCAATCACGATCAGTAAGTATCTCTCTCCTGTCTTTAACTTTCCCAGAATGTTTAGACCAGGCAAGTTAGTAAATATAAGTTGGTGTCATTTAAATACTGTGTAACTTAGGCATTCTACAGGTCTTAAAAGAATTAAAGATTCCAGACATAAATTAATATGAACATGTTTAAGTTTCCACCAATTTGAACCATGGGTGATACTTACCTGGCTGTCCCATTGGGAGGCTTGTACTGTTGGTGGCACAAACTGATCTAATAGCTTTTATTGGCCTTTTTACTAATAAAATTAAGTAAATCTGCCAGATGGGATAGTCATGCGTGTACTACTCGTGGTTCAAGCCTCCTGGCAGCAAGAAATATAAATTACAGCTCTATGAATTATGATGCTGTTGTAAACATGTTAGCTTGAATTCACCTTGTTCTTCCTTAATTTTTTTTTAGTTATCTTAATGTCATCTGTCTAGTTTGAATTGGTGTTATTTTTCTTATCTGCAGTCCTTTTGCAAAGTACATTTGAAGAAAATTCTTAATTGTACAGTTTTCCCCTTTTATGTATGGCTAAATTAGAAAATTAAAGTATTATAAAATTGTTAGCATTTAGTACTAGAATATTTTTGTTCATTTATTTTTGGCGGAACTGGGGATTGAACTCAGGCCCTTGCGCTTGCCAGGGAAGCGCTTATTCTACTGAGCTATCTCCCCGGCCTATTTTTGTTCATTTAGTTGCATAAATTAATCCTCCTACTTTATCACTATGTTCTAATGAAAGCTATGTTATATTAACATAGTTAATTCTGCCCTGAACTACATACTATTCTGGAGGACTGGTATAGGTAAATACTGTATAAGTTAAAGGGGAAGCCGGTTGGGCCAGGGAGATAACTCAGTAGAATTAAGTGCTTGCCTGGCAAGCACAGGGTCCTGAGTTCAATCCTCGTACTACAAAAAAAAAAAAAAAAAAAAAAAGCTGGGGGCGGGAGCCACAGGAAAAAGGTCTGTTCTGGCATAATCGGCACCTAAACCATCAGAGAATAAGGAAAAACAGAACAGAGCCTAGTTTAAGACTGTCTCTGTGAAGGGAACTTGACCATCTGTGATAGCAGAGCCTAACAGTTGTTTGCTAGAGATTTATGTGCTGTACTGATAACTTCATTACTTTTCTTGTTGCTGAGACAATAACCAACACCCAAAGTTAAAGGGGGGAAAGTTAGGGGCCAGGGAGATAGCTCAGTAGAATAAGCACTTGCCTGGCAAGCACAAGGTTCTGAGTTAAATCCCTGATACTGAAAGAAAAAAAAAAATCATTTAGCTCAGTTTGTGGAGATATCAATCTGTGGTTGGCTAGCTGCAAGGCAGAATGGCACATAGCAGAGGAGCAATAGTTCATGGTGGCAAAAGACAGCACAAACTATGGGGAGTTGAAAGGGGTGCTTCTTCTCTCCCTTATATTGTATCTAGTCTACTAGGATTAGCATGGTGCTAATCCAGTCAGTGAGTTGAACCATCAGTTACCATTCTTAATCCCAGCATTGCACTAGGAATCACTCACTCACACACTATATTCAACTACCTCTTTAAAAAAAACCTATAACTGCATGAGGCTTTGGGAGATATCTAGACACACCCAAGGGTGCACACACTTGTCTGTTTAGAAAACTATAGAAGCAATTATGATAGAAGTTTTACTCAACTTAAGAAAATATCTTCTTGAAATCAGGAAGGAAAGTCAGTGTGGTGGTACATTCCTATAATCACAGCACTTGAGAGGTTGAGGCAGGAGAATTGGGGAACTGAAGCAGGAGGATCATTGGGAATTTGAGGCCAGCCTGGGCTACAAAATGAGCTCAAGGCCAGCCTGAACTGCATAGAGAGATCCTACCTCAAAAAGACAAAAAAGAAAAAATCAGAAAGAAATCATGCCAAGTGTTTTCACAATCTTAGCTTCCTATGTCTACAAATTCAGAGTTGAAATGAAACTTAGCTATTGCATATATAAGTTTGGAATTCTTTGAAAGGTTCAGTTGTATGGTCAAATTAGAATGTATATTCCCTGGTATTGTCAGGCCTTGTAGTTTCTCCCAAACATGCATAAGTAATTAGTTATGTTTAGATGAAGTGTTGTTATTCTGTAACTTATGGAAGAAATCACACTAACATGTAAAAGTAGGTATGAAAAATCAATAGTGTCAATACTAAAATGTGTACACAAGTTTATAGCAACATTATTCTAGTAGCTAAAAAAGTAGAAACAGTCCAAATATCCATCAACTGATTAGTGAACACAGAATGGTATTTCTGTATTGTATGTAGATATAATCAGAAAAAGAAGTGAAGTATTGATGCAGTCCACAAAATAGATAAACCTTTTAAACATGCTAAGCTAAAATGAAGCTAGCAGGCCGGGGAGATGGCTCAGTGGAATAAGCACTTCCCTGGCAAGTGCAAGGGCCTGAGTTCAATCCCCAGTTCCACCAAAAAAAAAAAAAAAGTAAAAAAAATAAATAAATAAAGTAAAATGAAGCTAGATATAAGGGCCACAATTTATATGAAATATTTAAAAAAGGCAAATCCTTAGAAGCAGAAAAGTGACTTAGGCAGGAATAGGTAGTAACTGCTAATATGCATTTTTGTTTGTTTTAATTTATTTATTTTAGTTTTTGAGACATGGCTTTGCTGTGTAGTCCAGGCTGGTCTTGAACTCACTGTGCAGCTTAGATTGGCCTTGAATTCAGAATGATCTTCCTACCTTGATCTGCTGAGCGCTGGGATTATAGGCATATGCCACCACACCCAGCTTCAACAGCTTATTTTATAGGTTGATGAAAATACTCTGGAAGTAGTGATGATGATATCATAATTCTGAAAATACAATCCAGTGAGTTATACTCCTTTTATAATATGTAAATTATGCCTCTAAACTTTTTTGTTTGTTTGTTTTTAAAGAAAATACATAGCACTGTTACTTCATGAACTGAGTACACTTTTTTGGGGTTGGGGGTCTTTGAGACAGAATCTCACTATGCAATTCAGGCTGGCCTTGAATTCGTAATAATTCTCTTCCTCAGCCTCATGCACATTCCACCACACCCAGCTAGCAGTACACTTTTGAAGTAGGCTATTCACATGTCAAATGCCAAAACTAGGTTCAGCTTAAATTTATCTGAAAGTCACATTGCTGATTGGTGACAAATGTCAGAGTTCATAGTCTACCTATTACAGCATAATACTGCTGTATAGCCATGCCATTTAGCCATGTTTCAAATTTATAAATATATACTACATTCTGTTTCAGCTGTAGAAGGTTAAATGTTTGATTTTTCTTTCCAGTAGGTTGGGACTCCATGACTGTAAAAGTAATTTTAACTTTCATGTAATTGGCTTACTGTGTGACCCCCCCTTTTGAAAGGAAGTTCAATAAAATGTATCCCACAATGGATAATGTCAATGTTTAATAACATGTTTCAGAGACTTACTGAAAATAAAGGTAGAGTTTACCATAGCTTATGCCCACCTATGTGAGTTTTTGGATTGATGTCACTATGAAGAGATGCATGCCTTAAAGGCACATTTTGAAATAAATTTTTATTAATAATGCAAAATTGATCTAAACACTGGAAGTATGTATGTGATATATTTACCCTCCCTTCTTTCCACAGCCTCTGCAGAGGATAGAAAATGAAGTGGAACTCTTAGGAGAACATCTTCAAGTAGGAAGTTTTACTTATCCCCCATCAGCCCATCCCCCAACATTACCTCCATCAGCTCCTTTGCAGTTCCTGACACATGATCCTTTGCATCAGGAGGTGTCCTTTGGAGTAGTAAGTTTTTATATGTTGTTGTTTTTATTATTTTGATAATTTATTTGCTTTGAGTTGTTATCATTGAACATTCTCAGAATTTTAAGTATATTCTCAAAAGCCTTTAGTTGGAAAAATTGTTTTCAACTCCTTGTTATGTTTAGATTAACATTTAAGAAATGCTAAGTAGCACTTTAGCAATGAACAGCTTTTTTTCTTTTTTTTGTTTAGTTCCAAAATTTTAATATAGGTGTGTTAACTCAGCAAAATATTCCAAAAGAGTCCAGTAGTCCGTAATAGTATTGGGTCTTTCACTTGACTGGCAATATCAGAAATTGTTGACCTGAGTCCCCCACAGCTCAACATAACACCATGGCTTTATTCTTATACTTCGTTTTTATACTTTTCTGCTGGGTGGTTAAGACCAAGATAAAGCAAGACCTATGCAACAAAAGTTGTAGCTTTTGGGTCTGATAAGGTAGCAATGAACAGCTTTCTAAACTTTTAAAAATCAAGAGGTTTTATTGACAGGTTAATTATTTATAAATGTGAAATGGTCTTAAATTCTTTTAACATTTTTTCCACCTACAGCCTTATCCTCCGTTTATGCCTCGGAGGCTCACAGGACGTAGTAGATATCGGTCCCAACAGCCAATACCACCTCCTCCTTATCATCCCAGTTTACTACCATATGTGTTGTAAGTTCCTTTTTGCTTTAAAATTCTGAAGATTAGAAACCTTGAAATTGTTTTGTTTTGTGAATTCCTTCTCTGTGATCTATAGCTTAGTATGTGTTAGATACTGCTTTTACTTAAGTCTTAAGGAGTTAGGGTTGAAGAGTCAGATAAGAGCAGAAAACCAAGGATATAGGGGAAATGGGGGAGGAAAAAAGCTCTGAATCAGAAAGTAAGTTTAAACAAATGAAGAGGCAGAAGAGATTTTACAGCTAGTGTCGCTTGGAATCATCTTTGACTGTCTAGCTTTTGATACTGTTTCTCTTGGGGAAAAGACAAGAGATTATGTTATTCGTGTGTCTTAGAACAATTTTATTAGAATTATGTTTGTAACAAGCCCTCATGGCCTAAACAGAGTAGTTATTTCTCTCATATATTGAAGCCTAAAAGAAGGCTATTCCAGAACTACTGGTTGACTGTGTGACAATGAGAAATGGTTTTATCATAGTCACAATCTTTAGGCTTCTTGTCCATGATCTAATACAGCTTCTCAGGATCTAGCCATCACATCCATATTTTAGCTATCAAAGTGCTTACCTGCTTCTCTTGCGGATATAAGCAGCATTTATTATTCTGGCCTCTGTTGGCGAGAATTTGTTCACTTAGGGTGGTCTTAATACTAGAAAACCATTTGCCTATAGCCTATTGTTGTGGTAGTTTGAGCCTCCTCTCTTCTCGTCTTGCGTTTCTTTTTGTCTATCTTAAACTCGTCTTTGTTCATAAAATGTTCTTATTTGCTGTCTTTTGTATTTCCATATAAAATTTAAAATCATTGAGCGAGGCATGGTAGTGCCTGTAATATCAGCACTTGGAAGGAAGGCTGGGGCAGGAGGATTACTGTGAGTACAAGGCCAGCCTGGGCTACCTAGTGAGAGCCTATCTCAATATTTAAAGAATAAAAATGGAGGCTGGGAGATAGCTCAGTAGAATAAGCGCAAGTTCCTCAGTTCAATCCCCGGTATGGATGGATGGATGGATGGATGGATGGATGGATGGATGGATGGATACAAAATCATTGGCTGGGATGGTAGCTTGTTCAGTGATGTGTAGTGCCTTTGCATGCTCAACTGAAGCTTAGAGTTTAATCCCTATTATCACCACTTAGGCCAGGGATATAGCTCAGTGGTACATGGACCTACCTGGCAAGTGCAAGGTCTTGAGTTCAGTTCCTGGTACTGAGAAATTAAAAGAAAAATCTCACCAGCCAGTCATAAGTACATAGTTTTACTCAGTATCTCAGAAGTTACAACTTTTAAAAAGTTTTTTTTTTTTTTTTTTTTCTGTTTTGAGATCCTAGGATTTTGGTAGAGATTATATCAGATCTGTAGATCAATTTGGGGGGATTGATAACAATATTGAGTCTTACAATTTACTTAGCTGTATATTACTGTTTATGTTTGTTTTTATCTTTTTGAGACAGGGTCTTGCTCTGCAGTTCAGGCTGGCCTTGAGCTCACTTTGTAGGCCAGGCTAATCTTAAATGTGCAACAATCCTCTTGCCTCATCCTCCCAAGTGCTGGGATCACAGGCATTGCCACCATACCCAGCTTACCTTAGTGATTTTTGCTTTTACTATCAGCTTTTGTTTCTTTTGTATTTTTTAGGGGAGGGTCTTACAGGGTCTACAGGGTGCTCAGGGTCTCACTACTAGATCAGACTCAGTGATCCACCTGTTTACGGCCTCCCAAGAGCTGGGGTTACAGGCACATGCCACCATGCCCAGTCTCAATTGCCATCTCAGCGCACCCCAGGGATGGGGCCAGCACAGCCGGCCTGGGGATCAAACCCCCAGCCCTTGCGCCTGCTTGCAGTCGCTTTAATCCTCTGAGCTATTTGGCTGGCTCTTGTAATTCTAATAAAGTCAGCTCTTCAGAAGAGTTGCCACTGATGTACTTCTGTTCTTCATCCCTGTAACACTGGCTTTTGTCCTTTCTGACCTGTTCATTGAATTAGTGTACTTGCATACTAATGCTCTGGTAATTTTCACTGCAGATCAATGCTTCCAGTGCCACCTGCAGTAGGCCCAACTTTCAGCTTTGAATTGGATGTAGAAGATGGAGAAGTAGAAAATTATGAGGTGAGTAAATGAAAATGATTGTTGTATAAATGCAAGTATTGTACTCAACTGTTTCATTTGATTAAATATTAAGTAAACATATGCATTACAAGATTCAGATATGTCATAAAAATGTTCAACTGCTATTTGAACATGTCATATGTCTGGTAATAAATAGGTAGACTTTGATACTCTAATTATTAAGAGTTATACACAGTTCCAGTGAGAGTGCAAACTAGAAAATGATGAGTTCTGGTTAGGTGTTCTAAACAGATTTTTTTCTTTTCCTGAAAATACTTTATGGAAATAGAAACATTTGAGCTAGATCTTGAAGAATGGGAATATTTCCTCATGTTTAAGATTGAGACAGGGAAGATAACATTATTGAGGAATAGAATATAATCTGTAGCTAATGTGAAGAGGGAAAGTTCATTTAGATGCACTTGAGTGCTCTGCCAAGTGTTTTGGTCCTTTTATGATACCAAGTCTCTCTTAAGAGTCAAAACTCTGCTGGTATGTAGGGAACAGGTGAGGGCAGTTATTGTAGTCAGGGTTTATAAGAGAATAGATTTAATATAGGGCACACAATTTATAGGATTATTTTATAATATTCACCCAAAGAGTCAAATGCAGAAGTTACCAGTATCTGTCCACACTAGAGACCTAAGAATCCAGTGGAGGGCCTCTATCTCCTGGCAGTGTCTTGCAGTGTAGTTGGAGGACTGAAGCTCACAATAGTGTCTCATGCAAGTCTGTATCAAACATCTGCCCCAGGAAGACCCAAAGGTCAGTGGTGTAAGCTAGAAAGTTGGCACCAGTGGGACGAAGGATCTGTGTCAGCGGGCTGAGGGATCTGCACTATAGCTGGGAAGCTTTGCTAAAGTAAGGGCCATCATGGGCTCTCTGAAAAGAACTACAGCCGTCCTCAGCAACAGCAAGGTCCTAAACTCATTGTGGCGATGCAAATAGCTTAGTTCATATCATGAAAGCTACCATGCCAAGGTCTTCCAGGAGGTTCAGCAGTACCCTCCTTCTCTCTAGTTCTTTTTATGCTTTTGGAAACAATCCTCATGTAGGTGCTCCACACCCAGCACCACACTAGTTCAATTCAGCTGGATATTTCAAGTTGGCCATCATTTGTCAGTCCACTACAGAAATATTAATAAAATGAGAAGGCAGCCTATAGATTAGGAGAAAATATTGGTAAGCCATATATCTAAGAAGGGGTGAAAATCCAAAATATATAAAGAACTCACACAACTCAGAAAAAGTTAAAGTGATTTAAAATGGGCAAAGAACCTCTATAGATATTCCTCAAAAGAAGACAAAATAGGGCAATGGGTAGATAGGCACTCACCATCATGGATAATCAGGGAAATGTACATCAAAAATCACAATTATGCCCTCAAACCTGTTAGTACTGCTATTATCAAATGAGGTAAGTGTTGCTGAAAGTATAAAGAAAGAATCCCCACAACAGTCATAGTAAAAATATGAATAGGGAGCTAGCTCAGTGGTTTAAGCACCTGCCTGGCAAGCAGGGTCCTGAGTTTGATCCTTGGTACTGGAAAAAGAAAAAAGAGAAAAATTAAAAAATATGAACAGATACAGCCATTATGAAAAATAAAAAATACAAGAACTACCAGCAGTATGACCCAGGAACCTCTTGCTAGGTATGTACCCAAAGGAAACAAAAATCAGTGCGTTGTAGGCAAATCTGTGTTCTTCACAGCATTATTCATAATAATCAAGATATGGTTGAATAATCATTGATGAGTGGGTAAAAATTTGCAGTGTGTATAGATAAAATAGATTCAAGGGAATATAACTCAGCCTTTAAAAGAGTATTACTATTTGACAGCAGATGAAAATAGAAGTTGAGAAAAAGTACTGTATGATCTTAGTTACATGTGAAATCTTAAAGTCAGATACATAGAGTATAGAAATTTGATTAGAGGATATGCAGAGAAGGAAATCAAATGGTACAAACTTGTTATTTTGAAAACAATCTAGAGGTGTACATCATGAAAAATACAGTTAATGTACTGTATACTGAAAATCTGAGTGTAGTTTTGGTACTCTTACAACAACAACAAGAACAAATTAACAATGGGAGGTGATAGACTAATTTGTTGACTGAGCAGTCATTTTACTGAATATGTATATATCTAGCCATTGTATTTTACACCTTAATAAATACAATGAGAAGGCCGACCTGATAGGTCAGCGGACTAAAGCACCTGCTTTGGCAGAGTACAGCAGCTAGGATTTAATCCCTGGTGTGCCTTGCTGGCCCGGATGCACTGAAGCAATTGAGACTGGGTGTGGTCACACGCACCTGCAATCCCAGTACTTGGGAGGCTGAAAACAGGAGAGTCACTACTAGTCCTATGTAGTCAAACCCTGTAGACCCTGTCCTAAATAAAGAAAAAGTTAAAAAATGCATGCATGCATACATACAAACAAACAGACAAACAATAAAAAATACAGCTCTGGGGCTGGTAAGAGATAGCTTGGTGGTCTAATCCTGCATGACGAGCACAAGTACCTGGGTTCAATCACCAGTACCGCGTGCTGTGCTGGCCACCAAAACCAGGCATAGTGATGCATGCCTGCATTGTCAGCTGGGGAGACTGAGGGCAGGAGGATCACAACAAGTCCGAGCTGCATAGTGAGACCCTATACCAAATACATACATACATACATACATGCATACATACATACAGCTCTGAAAAATACTTTTAAACACTAGAGTCAAAGGATATAATCCTTGCATGATCATTGTGCTGTCAGGGGTGAGGGTAAGAAGGTTGTGTAAGAAGATGCTTTATAAGAAGACTAGACCAAGTGTCATGGCACACGCCTATAATCCCAGCACTTTTGCTGAGGCAGGAGGTTCGTTGTGAGTTTGAGACAAGCCTAGGCTACAAAGTGAGCTCAAGCCTAAATTACAGAGTGAGACCCTGTCTCAAAAAGGACTGTAATAGCCTGTGAAAAATTCAGAATCATAGATGCCATTAGGTCCAATAAATGATATTATCAAACCTAAGTGGTGTTGATCTTGTGTTTCCTGAGTTAGGAATGTTAAATGTGTAATTTGTTGGTTAGAAAACAACTTTGGATTTAAATGTATTTTCGTAATTGATCGTGATTCTGTATTGTTAGCTATCTTTGTCTCTAGTTTCACAGTATGAACATTGGAACTGGTTTTTTAAAGGCAAATTGAAGCTGGGGACAGAAGAAAGATACAGTCTTGAGCCACCACCACCACTCCCTACACCTGTACTGGGGATTATATATAGGGACTTGTGGATGCTACACAAGCTCTGTATTACTGTAATGCCACACCACTAGATTCCATTTCTTGAGAGAGAAAAGAGCTATAATAATTTCCTGATTTGTTTCTACATTGTATACAATAGTAAGAATAGGAGTTATTTTCTTTCAAAGTAATTTCTCATGTCATGTTAGTGAAATAAATAGCTGGTCATATGTGTATCAGTGGAAAAAAGTGTTGGAATTGCAGTATAACAAAAATATCTTAATTTGGCTTTGGAATCCCTTTCTAAACTATATTTTTAGGTTGAATATTTTGATGTCGCTGTGGTCATCCTTTCAGGCAGTTAAATGATAATACTTATTTTTATAGTTTACTCTCATAGTGTAGCTCCTAATCATTCCCTAGTCCTGACTTACTGCAAAGTACTCACTGGTTGTTTTTTTTTTTAGTCCACCTAATACATTTTTGTCTTACTGTAATGTTTTTATTTCCTGTGATGCTTCTAAGATCTTTCTTTGTTCCTCTGTTTTGATATTGTAGCATAAAAATAGTTTGTTACTGGGGCCGGGGAGATGGCTCAGTAGAATAAGTGCTTGCCTGGCAGCAAGCCCAAGTGTCTGAGTTCAATCCCTGGTTCTGCCAAAAAAAAAAAAAAAAGAGTTTGTTATGAGCAGCATTTCTAGGCTGCCAATAAATCTCTTCCTGTTTGTTTTTATGATACATAAGCACCTGCCTTCAATTGTCTTCTGTATAGCATTGTATAAGTTGATGGAAGGCTTAACCACCATCCAGTAAGCATTTAATCAGCATATTTTTAAAATTTTGTTTATGTATGTATGTATGTACTGGATCAAGTCAAGGGACACTATATCCTTAAGTTACAGTCTCCTTAAATTTTGAGGCTGGTTGTGGTATCACATACCTGCAATTACAGCACTTGGGAGGCTAAGGCTGGAGGATCACTGTAAGTTTGAGGCCAGCCTAGCATACATAATGAGTTGAAGGCCAGCATGGACTACAAAGGGTAACTTTGGCTCCCAAAAGTAAATAGTTGCCCAGGCTAGACTGATACTTACAGTCCTACGTCTATCTTGCTTAGAATTACAGGTATGTGCCACCATTCCCAGCAGCATCAATTTTTTTTTCTTTTAAATTGTTGCTTTATTTCAACAACAATAGTTAATTGAGTGTACCATCTTTTAATATTTAGCAGGATTGGGGTTGGGTTATCAAAAGAGGAGCAATTTAGATGATCTAGTTCTCCAAATGAAGTTGTCAAAAAAGAAAAGCTATGGAATCATCATGAAAACACGGAGTTACTACAGTGTTTTTTAACTTGGGGAAAATTTGGGGTTTTTTCTTATTGATTGTTGCTGTTTCTTTTTATACCCATTCTGTTATCTGTGGCAGCTTAAAATTTGGAGAAAGGCGGTCCATCAAAGGCAGTGTAATTGTAGAAAAACCAAATAAAAGTCATTTCCCACTGGGGAAAAGGCCCGCAGGACCCCTCCAGACCAAAACTCAGGCACGCCATGTGAGTGAGACCCTCTACCGCGGCCTCGGAACCCCTCCACGCCTCCAGAGCCCCTGCCCCCAAGCCCATCAAGTGAGTTGAGAATTTCTGTGAAGCTCTTGGAACCCCCAGATCTAGCCCAGCCTAGGCCCAGCAAGTGTGTGGGAGAGCTTCCAGCTTCCCTGTGCCAGTGGGACCTCTCCGGACCAAAATTCAGGAATGCCGCAT